GAGTCCTGGGGGGCAGTTAGGGGAAGGGGTCCCAGGAGGGGGCAGTCAGGGGACAAGAGGCAGGGAGGCTTAGGTAGGGGGGTGGAGTCCTGGGGGGCAGTTAGGGGAAGGGGTCCCAGGAGGGGGCAGTCAGGGGACAAGAGGCAGGGAGGCTTAGGTAGGGGGGTGGAGTCCTGGGGGGCAGTTAGGGGAAGGGGTCCCAGGAGGGGGCAGTCAGGGGACAAGGAGCGGGGGGAGGGTTGGGGGTTCTGAGGGGGGGAGTGGGAGGGGCAGGGGGGGGCTAGGGCAGGATGGGGCGGGGCTAGGGCAGGACAGGGGCGGGGCTCCTCCCGTCCTCTTTTTTGATTGCTGGATTATGGTAACCCTAGGTTAACTGGGGCTTAATCAATTTGTGGAGCTTGTAGTACATAGAGAGCATTTTGATACCCAGCCAGCTTGACCAGCAGAAGGACCAATAAGTGGCAAAACAAACCATTTAGGATGCAGGTACCAGATTACAAGGTTTGAGATAAATCACCTTGAAGCTGGCACAACTTTCCAGTGGCAGAGCAGTATATGGTCATGCAGGGAATTCCAGGCTCTGTGGGATGGCAGGGGCTAGGATTAATTTGGGGATAATACATTCAACCCCTAGAGAAAGCACTGACTCACATTCCTTTCAAGTGACTCTTTGTTATCAACAAAGCTGTGGGTCCAGAGTGAACAAAGACTCCCCAGGATTGCCATACCTGTTGCCTTTGTGGCTGAGGGGAGTGACATAGAAGAATGAGGGGTAGACTGAAGGAATCGCTTCTTCATCCTTCTCAAAACAATTTAAAAAACCAGTTTCTTGTACCCCCACTGAAGGGAGGAGCAGCCATATAAGGGTTTATCTGGAGTATAAAGTCAAGAGTCTTGCATTAAAACTCTGGAATTATTTGATTTTCACGATCTGATCTTGGAAGTCTTCTGCATATCGAACTTCCACTGAAGTTAACAGAGGTTCCATACTTCAAGAGCTTGTGGGATTAAGATACAATTTGCACAGCACATTAAGGCAACCAGAGGGGAAATTTTGTCTTGCTGAATGAGTTGTGTATCTTCAGTATTAAAGACAAGCAAAAGAAATTGCCCACTGTCATCTAAAATAGAGCTAGCCTTAGTCCATAGCTAAAATTGATAAGATTTCCTCCTACCCCATCACTCTTCTCTTTCCCATCACATCATGTCCTAATCAGTGTTACCACTCACTGCTTTGCCTGTAATACCTGGACAGAGAAGAAGTGAATTTAAACTGTTTTAAGAGGTAGCAGAGCAGGTTTTAGCACCATCACAGGAAAACCTAATCAGGAAGATGGCCCAAGAGTGTGATGTCAAATAAAATGCAGGACACTTGAGATAGGTGTAGCTGTAATAACTCTTACACCCACCTCTCCTCCCTTTCTTGAAATTTGGCTTTTTGCCACCTTCATCCTCACTTCTTCTAAAAAAAGAAAAAAATTGAATGAAAATGCAAATCAGTAGGTATTCTGGCTTTTTCAAGAGCATCAAAATTCCATTGAAAGTCAATGGCAGTTAAGTACCCAACTCCCTTAGACACTTTTTGAAAACCCTGCCCCTAATTTGATCAGAAGCATTTCAATTGAATAGGGGCTCTGTGACCATGGAAAGGATTGGGGCCATGGGTGTTCTGTGACTCACCCTATTACAGAACTGAAATATTGAGAATTGAGCTCTTACTCCCTAGAAAGTGAAAGCAACAGTGTTCAGATATTATCAGCAACCTTGAAAGTGCCTAATGAATAACAGCTATTCATAAATAAAACAGTACAGAGCTGTGTATATTAAAACATGATGAGAGCAAATATAGCATCTTCATATGTTATTCACAATTACATAATGAAGATTTAAACAAATATATTTAATAAAGCTGGTAGGTAGCTAGCTTTTAAGACAGAGACAAAGTGGATTTCCTGAAGTTTCCCATTTATAGGCTGTAGCTGTTAATTATTCTAGTCCCTTGAATGATGAACTGGAGGATCAGGCTACTGCTGAAGGCAATTACTCCAACCCAATGTTTTCATGTTTAAATTTCCTTTAACCATGTAAATTGTAGCTGCCTTAACCACCATGACGCACACAATTGTTTTATCTTCTGCTTTGGGTAGTGAATACTCTTAAAAAGAAGCAGTATCAAATGATCAAATAGGTCAGACAAGTATATTTGTGTAGTTAACACTGAGGATCTTATGTGTGTTTGTGTTTACTTTATCTTTTCAGGAAGAGGGCTGAATCCGACTCTAGAAAAAGCAGCATACCCAACAGCAAGGAAATTCCTTCTCATCATCCCACAGATCCAGTGGAGCTGCGACGCCTTAATTTTCAAACTCCAGGTAAGATGCAGAACTCCCCCGTTTACAGGGCTGTGACCATTCACGGTTTTCAACAATATTTCTTTAAACGGCACTGCTGCTAGAGAACTGAGTTGTTAAATGTTGAATTCTTTAGTTTCTACCAAATTCTTTATATTGATTAATGATGAGATTTTGCAGTGTATTTCTTACTAATAGTTTTGGGAATAATTTCTTCTAACTTCTGCAGTGTAAGAAAAATTCCATATTGAACTAATTAATGGAGACTCTATCATCTTAAGCACATTTTTTTCATAGAAACGAGTAACAATGAAGAATACTAAAAAAGATAGGGGGCTGGGAAATTATTTCCCCCCTATTTATTAATTGTGTGCATTTGACAATACTTTGTGTACAAATATTCCCTCTTTCCACTGCAGTGTCAGGTAGTCAGTTTCCCTTGGTTTTGTATGTGTCTTTCACATGGCAACAGAAAAGAGGAAAACAATTTTTAACATAGGAAAATATAACTGCACGAGAACAAAAATTGGCCGCAAGTCTCTGGAGCAGGTGTTTTCTCTGAAACTATTTTTAACTCTTTTTTTTTTTTTAAAATTGACTAGATTTCCAGTTGACAGTGTCCCTTTCAGGGATTGGTTTACTAAAACTGTGAGAATCCTTTAATGGTGAAGGGTACTGCTTATAGGAATCATGCATACTTCTCATATTCACTGTGCACAACACTGCAGTCTCTTTAAAAGTCTGGGCCATGCACCTTGCGGATGTGCAAAATAAAAAGGCAAGGTTAGCTGGAAAAAATACTCTTGTCTTCTAAAACAGGAGCAGTGTGTGAGGTCAAAAGGGTATATTAATATATAACTATTCCTGAGGTATAGGAATGGCATGTTGCAGAATATCTTTAAACCTGCTTGATATAAACTTTCCTCTTTTTAGTATGTTTAATCTTGTTTTCTTAATGGGAGTAACTTTGACAGCCAAGGACAGGATAAGAAGAAAATAATGTGAGTGGCATTGGAATTTTTATCACCCTTGTATAGATGGGTTGATATTTTATCTTTGGAATTTTCTTAACTTTGATGGTGATGTGATTCAGTAGACTTTTTTTAATCACAGTATGATTTAAATGAAGTCCCAAGCTTAATTCTGATTGATTGCTTTTAAAATCTTCCTGATTTACCATTAACAATGTACAAAAATCAGTGCTAGTATTATAAATTCTGTAGTGTGAGACATGAACACAATCATACCTTCAGCAGCTACTAGTGAACTCCCTGACCAAGAAGATCCTCTGTTTATTAAGCTTCCTGCTACAACACATCTTGGTCCTCTCTGGTAACTGTGAAAGGGGAGGAACTATGTAGCCACTTTTTAAAGGCACTTTTATGCATTTAAATGCATAAAATCAGGAAATTAAATAGAGATTCTCAGAGATTTACTAAACCACACAATACACACACACAATTTATCTCAAAAGAGTTAACTGAAATCCCAGCACTTAGTTCTGACCTATTACTTATTAACGCTCTGTGATTTATCCTTCATTTTTACTACATTCAAAAAACACTTAATGCAAAGGCGAGATTTTGTATACAAATGCACAAAAGTCAGAAAAAGAAAAAGTTATGGTTCTTACAGATTAACTCCCATCATATATGTTCTAAAACAAATTTCCAAATTCATTGCTCCCATAGTCATAATGGGCAGTGTGGATGATTTAATATTACTTCATACAGTTTTCTTTTTTTTTACTTTTGTGTGTTTAAATTTGTAGTCTTAATCTTGCATTTATGTTTATTTTTTGTCATATTTTAAAATAAAGTAGGGGAAGAGGCTGCTCATGCTTAATAACATTAGAATTTAATGCTGTACATTAGCTCTTGCAGACACTATAGTTTTACCTCATTGCTCTGGAAAGAGCTGGAGATGAGTGAATTTGGACCTTTCTTTGCAACAGCTGTTGATGTGAGATAGACAGTTTTCAGTGAACTTGGCTGTGAAGCCGCAATTCATTGATACTATTAGACCTGTCCCTTGGCAACAAACCTTTTTTGTAAAACGAAGTCTGATTTTCCGGCACTTGTGGCTTGCAAATGAAATTATTATTATTTCTATCGTGGTAGCACTACAGACCCCCAATCAAGGATCAGGAGCCCATTGTGTTAAGCACCATACAAACAAGTAACAAAAGAGACAGTTTCTGCCCTAGGTGGTTTGTCTTGTCCCGGATTTAAAAGCATGTTTGAAGGTGTTACTAACACATTCTAAGGATGAGATCCTGGCCCTGCTGAAGTCAGTGTCACTATTCCCATGTGGAAGCATACACTCTTGTTTAATTCCCATTGACTTTAATGGAGCTATGATTTCACCATAAGACTATGTGTACAGGGCAAGTGAAGGTGCAATTATAGCATAGGTAGGCATACGTGTACTAGCTTTAATCAAGCTAGCATAGATAATAATAGTAGTGAAGACATTGTGGCATGGGCTAGCAACCTATTAACAACACATTTTTAAATTCTACTCAAACACAAAGCCAGCAAGATGAAATAAAAAGAGGCCTTATGTTCATGGGAACCATATTTTTTTCCTTCCACATTTTTCCCTTTAAAAAAATGGGCAGTAGGATGTGGGGCAGAGGATTGTGTTGTGTATATTTTATTGAAGCCTTTACAATTGCCCTCATACAAAGGTCTTGTCTACACTATACAATTTTATCCCGTCTGAACAGAGTTACCAACAATTCTATTAAGTGACGCAGTGTTGAACGTGTTCTAGCAGTCAGTATGCACCAGGACAATAAGACTCCAGGGAGGTAGAGGATGTGAAGAGGATATTTATTTGTTTATTTTATTTCTTTAGATTGTTGGAGCACCCACAGAGTGTTGGGTGCTTTCCAGACACACAAAATCTCTGCCACTTAAAGAGTACCATCAAAAATAGTCATTTTGTTTCCTAATGAACTGATACTGTGGAGCAATTCAGGAGACAATTTGAACTTAAATTGAAATGTTTAGCTCACTAATCTCTTGTTTAATATGGTTACCAATGGGGGCAGAGATCAAAAATAAATTAGGCAATGTGAGGCAGAGCATCATCAACCCCCTTTCCTCTCCCCTTTCCCTCTCCCCCCGCCCCATGTTGAAGGGGCAAACATATGCCTGTCAAAATAGAAATTTAGTAGATGTGCTTCCATTGGGAGATGATAATGGAGTGTGGACTGGAATCCCCTGTATTCATAATAATAACAAACCTTGATAAAGAGTAATGGGTGACAAATGCTTTGACTATTTGAAAGACTCCAAAACAACCACTGTCAGATGCCCAAGACACAATTTTGCAAAAAAAAAAATATATATATATATATATATTTTTTAATCTTAAACCACAAATTTATTTTGTCTAAGGGGGGGGGGGTCAAGTGGGATGTGAATGTCAAGGTTTCGCCCTATTGGATTAAAATGCATTTGAATTGCATACCATATGAGTAAAAGCACCTTTAATATAGCTGGTTTAATATAACCGTTTGAAAGCAACTATGTGGATTGTGGCTAGTATTTATCTTCTAGTTCAACGTCAGGGCTTTCTTATTTTATTAATGATCAAGTTGAACTGGTGATGAAAATACTAACACAATATGAAGTCACCATATGAATCTAAATTCAGAATTGCCAGAACAATAAAGCTTTCAGTTTCCTATCACTTTTCTTCATGTTTTACCAGTAAAGAATAGTGTTATTAGGATAATTCTCATTTTATTCTGAACACAGAGGATCATTTTCATCTCTGGCTTCACTCCATTGCAACAAGCAGTTACACCATGGATAAATTTGGCACTGTGTCTTAACATAAGGGAATAGCCCACAGTTCTACATCTGAGAAGAAGATCCTGTCTCCATATGTGCTTTCCATACAAATGTACATTTGTTAGATAGGCCCATATGCCAGCAAGTGGGTCACATCTGCGCCAAGTTTTCTTTGAATCAATATGAAAATGCCCAATCTCCCAACAGCATAAGGGATTTCATTTTGTAAGTCTATCATTTTCTAAAGGTAGAGGGGCAGGGGTGAAGGAGAGCCAGTCTTGCTATTCTACCGCAAGTTTACTAGAAAATATGGTATTAAAATCATTAACCTTGAAAGCAAATTTTATAAGTCACTAAGCCACGTGGACAAAGACTGGTGGGGGGTCAGGGTAGGAACAATATGTCTTCATCGAATGAAATCTACAGGAAGGAGAAGCTCAGACTTACACAGAGTAAAGTGACTGATTTGAAATTGTTTGAAATTTTCTGAGATCCAAGGCTCAGAAAAAGACTCCAATCTGCTTGTCAGCTGAGGAACAGGATTGATTTATTCCTGACAAGTCACTTTTTGTTTTTCATTTAAGTACAAAATGTGTCACACTCATAAATAATTTGTGTAATTGGACACCAATTAAACAATTATCTCATTATAGCACATTAGTTAAATAAAAAGAGGCTTGAAATTCAAGGAAAATAAAGAAAATTATAACAGCTTTGAATTCAAAGATTTACTCATATTTACATAAGCAATTCTTCACCATATACTTGTGGGGAGAGTTATTTAAGGAAGCTGCACCAGTCTGTTTCCAAGATGAAGAAAAACAAAATAAAACTGGTCAACTGGAAAATAGCAAATTAAACACAAGGGGAAAAGTTGATGTTTGGATTTATACATCTGACTTGCAAGTTAGCAGGGCTATCCTCTCATTGTATACATGCAATTCCTATTCATATTCATGAGAGTTATGTCAACACTGAAGGGAGAATACAGGCTTGTCTACTTGGGGAAATTGACCAGAATAGCTCGCATTTGGACACCCCTTTCCAGAATAAAAGTCACTTTAATTCCAGAATCATTGCTCCGCTTTGGGAGTACACTAATTATTCTGGAATGGAGTTTATTTTATTCCAGAATAGAGTGTCCACACAAGGAGCTGTTGTGGAATAACTATTGGAATGCTTTGAAATAGCTATTCTGTTTTTTTCTCCATGTAGACAAACGCTGAACCTACTCCCTCAAGTTTATTTTTACTGTGGTGACTGTTAAAGAATACAAGTAATTCCAGTATCCACTATACTAAGCATACCCTCCTGGAGTTCTGATGGAAGACAAATTCCCATTGGTCACAGACCAATATTGTTGGGCCTTTTGTCTGTTGCACATGCTGAACACAAGTTTTGCATTTGTGTTTTTACAAATTTTTGACAGAAAAAAGTGCCACTTTTATTGGTTCTATTGTTGATAGAAACATCTCATCATGAATTTTTTTGTTTGTTTTTCTCTGGTATTATATCAAATACATATTGCAATAAATGAGTCTTTAATGATCACAGATTACTAGTTTGATGTGGGCCTGTAATATAATTAATTTAATAAAGGTTTTTGTGTAAAAATTATATGTCAGATTTCCAATATGTTTGTTTTTTAAAAGCAATTATTGTGTGTTATCACAGCTCAGTGTTCTATGTAATCGCCAATTTATTGTTTATTCATGAGGGGCTTGTAAACATGGAGCTGTATTCACATTTTGAGCAAGTTTCAAACCAAATGTGTGCTCCCTAATGATATTAAGACCACAAAAACACCTTGATCTTCTGTCTCATAAATGCATAAAAGCAACAAAATAGCAAATGAAAGGCTCCTTTTGTATTTCTTATTCATTTATAGTAAAATTCACCCCAATGCAGAGAGCCTACATAAGGCCAGGTACCTGGTTACATTCCGCATTAAGGGTGAAATCCTGGCCCCATTGAAGTCAAGATCAAAATCTCCATTGACTTCAGTGGGATCAGGCTTTCAACCATAGGATGTAAGTGTGGATTAAGTGATTGATGCAGAGGTCCTTTCACCTGCACTCTGCATTGTGGTGAATTTTGCCCTTACTCTACCTATTGTGCCTAAGTATTGTAGCCCATATAGTATACCATGTTCCTCTGAATTAGTGGTACATTTACCACAAGACAAGCAGAAGATATTTCCACATGTTATTGGAACCACAAGCTCTTGTTTAATTCTTTTTTGGGGGGGAACACTATTATGCAGTATAAATCACTCACTTTTTGCAATCCTCCGCAGTAAATAGGCACAAGGGCTGGTTGTGTATGGAAATTCAGGTGTAACTTTGCATGATGTTGTCTTCATTGATATGAGTCAGGTCTTTTAACGTTATTTTAACATTTTTGTGTGCTTTAATTTCTTATCTTTTTTGTCATTTGAATAAAAAAGAAAAGAAAAGCATGTCATTGGCATGTTATTCTTTTAGACCTACTAAGCATGTCAGAGGGCCTGTTCAGATGTAGTTGCATTTTGTCTTATTATTTTTAATACATGTTCATAGCATATATGGAATGATATTAATGTGTATTAGCAAAAGTATGCATTCTGTATTGTAGAGCCATAAAAATAAGTCTGATCAGCTACATTTTGTGTAGTGTTCTGAGAGTCAAGTTCTGCCCTAGGTGCACACAACCCATGTTGATGTCAATAAGAGCCTACTACATGCACCAGGGACAGAATGTGGCCTTAATATGAACCCATAGCATATACCATAAAATCTCTTTAAGAACTGTGGATGCATATTAACAAGAGTACATATCTACATAATCCGGATGCATAGAATGAGTACATAGCAAAAGACTTTCAAAAATGAAAAAGTAATTATTTGTCACTTCAGTATTGCATCTGTTGTGTCTTTAAAAATAATAGCCCTACCAAATGCTATTACTTCACTTTATAAGCTGACTGTAAAATATTAAAGAATTTTAAGTATTGTTCAATTATAGGATCATAAAATGAGTTCTAGCAAAAGGGGTTTATGTTCAAGTAAGAGCCAGCCAATTAATTTTAAAAGTTATCTGTAAGTTTCCTGCTTAGAAAAGTTTTATGCCACGTTTCACTCTGCACCAAATGTTTACTACAAAATCACCCTTTAGAAACATATAATGAGAAATTTAAATGGTATTAGATGCTCAACTTTAGAAGTGCTAATGGGTACCTCTGTAATGATGGTTATAAATAAGACCAGTTAAAAAAGGACTAACTATGATTTGATTAATCAAATAGCCTAATAATGTATCCACAATTTCTGACTCTTTAAAATGACTAACCCTTCACACTGAGCTAAGTATTGAGATCCAAGTTCATGGTGTTGTTGAAAAGGATAGGTTCACTAATTAACAAAGACAACCCACCTTCTTGTTTCCAGTAGAGAGATTGGACCTCTGGATATTTTCTTCTGAGTATGGTTTCCAGACAATGGTTTTGTGCATGTCAGAAGTGTACGTGTGTGTGTGTGTGATTGATTGATTGATTATGATGGCCTTCTACTACTGTTACTAATTTGTTTCCCGTTTCCAATTGGCTTTACTTTTTACAGCTTTGAGCAGTAATTCAGTCCCCTACGCTTCCCTGATTGGCTCTGTGTCCTCCCTCTCTAGCCAAACTACCACTCAGTCCTTATATGATAATAACTCTCTCCCACGATTCGCTCGAAAAGGTCTAAACATCTTTGTCTCTATTATTTTCTTTGTTCAAGCACTGTTTTAGATGTACATCAGCCCACCTCCATTTCTGGATAAGTCTAGAGTTTTCTTGTGCCTTTTCACTCCCATTCTTTTCACTGGGGTGCTTGATCTGGATCAAATCAGTTTAATCATTAGAAAAATGTCACCCACCCTTTCAAAAATGAGTGTAACATAGCCCTTAATTTGACAACTGACAAAATGGGAGACTCCAGAATGGATATAGATAGAGTTTTGGCTACTAATTTTGTACCTGTAACTTCCAAAAAATATCCCCAATATTCCTGGATACTCCCCTTAGTTCAATTGACTGGCAGCATGTCATACTATCTATAATAAAACCTCACAGTGGCGGAATCATTGTGCAGGTAGCATTTGACTAAATGAGTGTAGCATTTCTGTGTAATGTACAAGGCTCAAATGATTAGGATCAGTGCTGCTGGTCCTTCCTATGTACTGAAGTTTATTAATTGGTGACTGAAATACCGCAAAATCATTTAATGAAGTGACCCTATCATAATCCCATGGTCATTGAGTGGTGCGGTAGCAAATGCAAGTTAGGTGTCCCACAGAACACTCCTGAGATTCACGGTGACAAAGCAAACTGAAATGTGCAACACAGCTTCCACTTTGAGCCCCCTGTAGTCATCATTGTTTTCTTTTGTAATTTCAACAGATCCTGGGGTTCACTAGTTTAAATTTTCTAGCCAGCTGTGGTTTCTCCCTGCAAGTGGTTATACATGCTACATTGTTCTAGGCCTGGTAAAAGTAAACCCAAAGAAATAAATGCAAACCATTTTGGGGCGGGTCAAATAAACTAATTGGTTGGGAAAAAATGGCCACAAGGAGTGGGCTGGCAAATCTTCAGCTGGCAGGCTGTGCTAGTTGGCCCCACATCTCTTTCTGCCTTTTTTCTCTCCCTCTCTCTTCCTTCCTCCCTATCCCCATCTTTTTTCCTATCTCTCTTTCACTTTCTCTTTCGTTCTATATCTTCATCAATAGACAAAGATGTTTACACCTGAAGTAGATTGTAGGTACTTTTGGGGGTTGATAATGGGGCTTGGGGGTAAGATCATTTTAAAGTACTAGTGCAGCCAGATATGTGTTTCCAGCTGAATTGTACAACCCCTGTCTCTACAATCTGCTACTAGTGAAAACATTTTTGAAGCTCTAGTTGTCTGATGTCCAATCTTGTCTTTAGTGACTGTTGTCTATAAGCAGTGATGCATGTTACTCTAGTCATACATAGTTGCATGTGAATGTCAGTCATCTCTAACCTTCATAAAATATTAAAGCTATCTTAAAGTATTCCTGATCTGATTTAGTCAGAATGTATAGTCAGTCCTTCAGTCCTTGAAACATTGTTATTAGTCTTTTCTAACTATCAAGCTATCCATTTCATTTTTATTTTTATTTTATTAATTTATTTGGGATTTTTTATTTTATTTTATTTTATACCATTTCCTTTGCAGGTTCAGGTGTCTCCGGTTACCCTGGTAACCTTCATTCTCCAAGTTAGTTTTCCTTGATTATGCATAAGTCACTTTGTTTTCTGTCAAAATACTATTCTTTCCCCTTTAGGCCTCTTTCAGTGTCTATTTTCTCAGCTCACCTTTCATCGTCTAATTCAACACAGTTTCCATTTCATACAGTGCAGGAGAAGGAGTTTGAAATGACATTAAGAGTCATTACTCAAAGCAGAAGTCAACATCAGGTCTAACTGTCTCATTTTTCCTTGCCTAGCTAACCTCATTGACTCATGGCACAATAACACTTTCTTTTACACTAGGAATGTTAGCTTTGGGAATATGCTTGGTGACTTTTTTTTTATTTGGCTTCAAAGCTCATCTCTCCAGAGCATGTCCTGCTTTGAGTAACCAAACTATCTGCCTGCTTCTTTCACATACAACATCTTTACTACTTGCATATTTCTAGCAATTCTAACTACTGTCTTCTCTAAATTTTAGAATGATGCAATCTCTTTGATTTATTTTAAATTCTGTTTTCCTTCTCTCTCTTTCAACAGGTATGGCTAGCCATCCTCCAATACCTATCATGGAACTTGCAGATCACATTGAAAGATTGAAAGCTAATGACAATTTGAAGTTCTCACAAGAATATGAGGTAATTTTCTAAATGTTCTCATTCTTACTATTCTTAACATTATCTCTGGTTTCCTCTTTTCTACCCTCATTTGTGATAATTATACCCCTGGATGATTTCAGTTTTACATACCATTAGAGCCATGATGGGGCAGGCGCCTTTGTTAAAATGACTGATGTAGTGAGGTGGCTACTTTGCTCATAGGAGATACCTTTTCATAAGGATGTTTGTCGTACATACTTTAACAGTACATGCACCAAGTAGTGTACAAATGATACAGTGCTTGGACTATTTTGAATATGCGAACTCCCGTTGATTGTAGGTTAAGAGTGCCCAAGTTTCTTTCACAATTCTTATGGATAAGGATCCTTCATGGCACACATTGGCAAGACAGATACAATACCAGCTCCAAAGGGGGAGTTATGGTCCATTGTGTCAATGTTGCATGGATTAAATATTCTGTAATTGCCCGAAGTCATGACTGAGCATATAGCAACTCCAAGCCATTGTCTTCTGTCCTGTCAATAATCCATAAATTAGGGGCTGTAATAGTATGATGGAATGCAACAGGAACAGCAAAACCAATTATGGGCCATCATGTCAATAATCCATGGAGACATGAATAGACACTGCAGACAGCAGTGACCTCTCATGTCAATAATTTGTGGATGAAGGGACTTTGATAGCATCCATTAAACACAATAAATCACAACTGCTCCTTCAAAGCCATTATGGTCTGTCATGTCCATCAGACCAGTAGTGCTCCTTTAGTGTGGTTATGGAGTGTCCTATCAGTGATCCATGAATTAAGGACTCTCTGAATAGTCATTGATATAGTGCTCCCTTTACAGTCTGTCATGTCAATGGTTTAAAACTCCTTTAGAATGCCATTACATGGTAGACCATAATGGCAATGAAGAAACCATTACTACCCAGCTAGCTAGCTGTCATACACCTAGGATACTGTGAGTCCAACATAAATAACTATTCTTATCTAATCTCAGATATCTCATAATTGATATAATTTGTAATGCACCTATTTCTTTAGTATCCAGGCACCACAGATTAAGCATTGACACTCTCGAGAGTAACAGCACTGAGGCAGACCTTTCCAAGCTTCTATAAGTTAACATTTCATTTTCTGTGGAGTGAATTGCTTGTTTATGAGAGGACAGGCTGAAAGCACCATTTATTAATTTTATTTTATAAAGAGCTTTTGTATAACCTTTTGCATAATTATTTTTTCCTCATTAACATCGCTTTAAAGCTAACTCCAAAGGTTGGAACATATAAATACCCAGTGTATTTAAATAACTTGGGCAGGAAAGATTTAAACAGTTACTGCCCATTTACTATTACAGTACAGAACTACACTTGCTTTTCATCTGATGATACACTGTTAAAAAGTACCTGAAGACTACTCTGAAAAATAATCTTGTTACCGTCAAGAGAAAATACAGCCTCTGTGATTCAGAAAAATAAGTTTATTTGTACAGCATCTCAGGGTTGCTATTTAATGCCACAGTCACCAAAATGCAGGAGTGAATTTTTATTGTACTGTGTGAATCTATAGTGTTCTTGATTTTGGAGACTGCAGTATAAAATGAGTGAAAGCAGATATTTTATCTGTCATTTAGTATCCTAAACTTGGCAATCATTTTCTTCCTTGTTCAGAAACACCTGCTAAAACTCACAATAATGCCTTTGTATAGAGCAAATTCTGAAATATGCATCCCATTGTCACTTTCTATTTCAATTCACCTGAGTACAGAAACTCACAATGTAAGTCTTGAAATCAAGCAGTGAAATGTACTGGATATAAGAAAATATTTTGAATCTCTAGAAAATTGAGCTGTTTGAAACTACCACTTTTCCCTGCACAAATACTCACCACTTTTAGCTGTGAACCCACTCTAACTTCACTGTGAATAAAACAATAATTTAACCACAAAGTAAAAAATACCCTCAGGCTGTTCTAACTTGGCACAGGAAGACCATCACTGTACAAAAGGCTATAGGAAGATCAAGGAGATGTAGAGGTGAGCTTTAACCTGTGTGTGGATCGGCTGCACTCCAAACTCTCAGCCTTGGGTTTTGTGAGTTGCCCTGGTGAAGACAGTCATGCCATCTTGTAAGAGTTTGCTTCAGTTCTATTCAGACAATGGGCCAGATTCTGAAGCCAGTGAAAGTTCTAGCTGAGTAAGGAATTTGGATTTTGGCTTAATGTAACGCCACGCTCTTAATCGGAAAGTTAGCGTTCATCATAAAAAAGTCAACATTTGCTAATAGATTCCACAATTATTTCCTATTCTAAGTATAGGGAAATGTTATAGCTTCTCAGAAACAACTGTGCTGGCAACACTGCTTTTTTATAAATAACTAACACGATAGCAATTCACATTTGTTGGTACAATGTGTATTAAAGTACACAGTCCAGGCATTACGTCGCCAACATTTCTTTAGCATTTTGCAGAGATGATACATTGAAGTATAAGATTGAATGTAATTTAACAGCCTTGCTGTTTCATATTTGTATGTTCTTTACATCAGTAAAAGAACCTAGAACACGTTACCTTAGCCAGTTACTGCCAGTGCCCTGGGTTATTTTTCATTCTTGTATCGCTTCTGTCAGATATCAGCAGCTGCTTCTCCTACAGCTTCATACTGTTTTGTGTTTCTGCCCAGCTCTTCCCTTAACATTCTAGCAAAGAAGAGTAGGCATTTAGCATTGAGCAGTTATAAAATCAGCATTTAAACATGAGCAGCAGTAGTGAAGTCAGGCTTCCCACTCATTACGCCCCTAATGTGCCTCAACCCTAATCTACAGAGATTGTCTTTTAAAATCTTTCTCTATGTCCACCCAATCTGTGGTCTCTCTTTTGTTGAGACAAGGGTATTAATTAGTGCAATTGAATTTTATAATGTAGACTAGGAAGCGTGGACTAAGACCCTCAAACAGTTTTACTTGGGGAACTGAACAGATGGTAAAACTTCAGTCGATATCAATTCAAGCTAGTCTCAAACTGCTGACTCATTAAGTGAAAGGTGCTATATCCTAGTGTCATTCTACTGAGCCATCCGGTCTTCTTAGAGAAAGAGCAAAGTAACAAATTATTGCCTGAGTAAGTTACCTTTACATTTTCCTGAGAACAAACAAAACCCCCTATAGTTATTTCCAGTTTTGAAAAACAACGCAAATGTGATTTTACTTTTCCCAAGCAGTTCCATGATCACTGTAGATTTTTTGGCACTGCCTTGCTTCCACTAACATTCCATGATTTGTTTTTCCTTTTAGTTTGTGAAAATTCTTATAATTTTATTGAAGACGTTCTTCTAACCTGAATTAAACTGAGAAGACACAGAGCTTCATATGAGCAGGGATTGATTAACTGATTCAATAAAAATTCACATCTTCCTGATCATAAGCTCCTCAGAGGGCTTTGAAGTACAGTGGACCTTCTTTAAGGTTGAGCTTCCTTTGGATAAGAATAATGTCTTAGATAAATTTGCCCACCCAGCCAGCTTCAGGTATATCCCCCTAATTATCTGCACATTACTTGCACCTCATATCCCATATCCAAAGACACCTGCTAGGATGTAATAGGATCCCTATTACTTTCTCCTTCTCAGCTACTCTTTCATTTCCTTTTCCATCTCTTTTTTGTGAGTTCTTCTCCCTACTTCCTGTTAAGTTTCTCCTAAGTCCAGAGATCAGCCTCCTACTTTGTTCCAGCTGTCCCTTGGCCCTCTCTAATCCACAGTGCTTCCCTGCTATCAGACACAAGGAAAGCATTAGAGTCAAAGATGTAAATGATTTAGATAATGGCATAGAAAATACATTTATAAAGTTTGCAGATGATACCAAACTGGGAGGGGTTGCAAGTGCTTTGGAGGATAGGATTAAAATTGAAAATAACCTGGACAAACTGGAGAAATGGTCTGAAGTAAATAGGACAAAATTCAATAAGGACAAAAGCAAAGTATTACATTTAGGAAGGAACAATCAGTTGCACACATACAAAATAGGAAATGATTGCCTAGGAAGGAGTACTGCGGAAAGGGATCTGGGGGGACGGGGAGTGTCATAGCAGATCACAAGTTAAATATGAACGAACAGTGTAACAATGTTGCAAAAAAAGCAAACATTCTGGAATGTATTAGCAGGGGTTTTGTAAGCAAGACACAAGAAGTAATTCTTCCGCTCTACTCCACACTGAATAGGCCTCAACTGGAGTATTGTGTCCAGTTCTGGGTGCCAGATTTCAGGAAAGATGTGGACAAATTGGAGAAAGTCCAGAGAAGAGCAACCAAAATGATTAAATGACCTGTGAGTGAAGATTGAAAAATTTGGGTTTGGTTCATCTGGAGAAGAGAAGACTGAGGGAAAGACATGATAACAGTTTTCAAGTACATAAAAGGTTGTTGGAAGGAGGAGGAGGAAGAAAAATTGTTCTCTTTAACCTCTATGGCTAGGACAAGAAGTAATGGGCTTAAATTGCAGCAGGGGCAGTTTAGGTTGGACATTAGGAAAAACTTCCTAACCGTCAGGGTGGTTAAGCCCTGGAGTAAATTGCTAGGAAGGCTGTGGAATCTCCATCATTGGAGATTTTTAAGAGCAGGTTAGACAAACACCTGTCAGGAATGGTCTAGGTAACACTTAGTCATGCCATGAGTGCAGGGGATTGGACTAGATGACCTCTTGAGGTCCCTTCCAGTTCAATGATTCTGTGTTTGAACTCAATCTAGAGGCAGGTGACAGGAGCAGTGGCAGGCCTAAAGAGAATCAGCTTCATGATAAGAGAATCTCTTGATAAAGTAAAACATGTGGGAGAGGGACCTATGCAGCAGACACTTCTGGTTTTTTGGCTGAGTAAGGAGGAGTATGTGGAGGGGAAGAAAACAAATCTTAGACGAGGTGTGAAAACCTATGGGCTTTAGCCAGTCTTGGCAATGTGTTTTGAGTTTATTACTTAATATACAGTACCTTTTAGATTGTCTGGCTTTAATGTAGGATTTCAAGC